GCTCACAGCAACCTCCAACTCCTGGGCTCAAGCGAGTCTCCTGCCTCTGCCTCCCAAGTAGCTGGGACTACAGGCGCCCGCCACAACGCCCAGCCATTTTTTGGTTGCAGCCATCATTGCTGTTTGGCGGGCCCGGGCTGGGGATTCGAACCTGCCACCGCAGGTGTATGTGGCTGGCGCCTTAGCTGCTTGAGCCACAGGCGCCGAGCCAAAGGTTTTATTTTCTAAAGCAAAATCAAAATTCCTTAGTTCTGGATCCAGGTCCTCCACAATCCAGCTGCATCTGCATCTCCCACTACTCCAAAGTGAATCCTTCCTTACTCTATGAAAAATCTTTGCCTCTTTCCCTCTATCATGCCTTTTATTTAGCTCTTTCCATGGGGAATGTCCACCCTTTATTATCCTGACCAACTTTAAGTCCCAGTAAAAGGATACCAAGTGCTATCAGACATGTAGGATTCTTTTAAATTCCTGAAGAGCACACAATCAAGAACTGAAACTTTTAAGCTTTTATGTGTCACATGATGTCCAGGAAGATCTCTTACAAATCTTTAAGGTAAGTAACTTGGGATCACGCTCACATTTAAGAACCAGCCAAGGCATATTAGCTGAGTACGGTGGCTTGCACCTGTACTCCCAGCTACTAGGGAGGCTAAGGCAGGTGAACTGCTTGAACCCAGGAGTTTGAGGTTGCTGTGAGCTAGGCTGAAGACATGGCATTCTAGCCTGGGTGACAGAGTAAGACTCTGTCTCAAAAAACAAAACAAAATAAACAAACAAAAAACCAACACACACAAAAACCAATATCCAGGGAAGACAGGGATATGGATTATTGGTCATTATGCCTTAATTTTTAAGAAAGAAATGACCTGTTTCTAGAACGATGTCTGAACACGTGCTGCCTTTACTGGACAACAGTAAAGGGACGACAAGAACCCTACCACCACTGACTACAACAACCTTGTGCTGTACTCAACAGAAAAACTCTCACGAAGGAAGCCAGGGACAAAAGGTTACTTAATAGCTAGAGAAAAACAAAAAGCCAGATGTCCTTTTCAGCACCATTTATGGAGGCAATTTTATAGAGCACAGGTTTTGAATGCAGATGAATTGGGGTTTAGCTAGCACTGAATCTCATTTGGTACGTGACCTGCTTAAGCTACTAGCCTCTTTGAGTTCACTTTCTCATCAATAAAAGTAGGGATAATAACCTCTTATTTTACAAGGCTGCTGGAAAAAAAGAAGATAAAAATACATAAGGCACTCAGCAGGGTCTGGAATACAGAGCACAAGAAAACAATCTCTAAGAGAGCTCTGGGCCTCTACTTCTCTGTGGCCAGTTTACTTGCCTTTGTTTCAAAAAGTCCTATAAAACCCTGTTCCTCCTTAGCCATGCCTGCTAGGAGGACTCCTTAGGGAGGGATATGAAGCTTCTTTTTCATTGTTAAAATAACATGAGGGTTGCACTTTATGACACCTTGGTCAGTATTCCAGTGGGGCTGTATCAGTAAATTAGAAGAGTGTCAGATGCTTTGCATTCCCTATCTCCCCTAAATTAATCTCTTAGTTGGCAGGAGGGAGCTTATAAAATTCATTTACTAAACATTAACCCTCAAAAACCAGGCACAGCCACTACTTTCAATCAGCATTTTCCAAATAAAACAGAAGACAATGTTCTCTTAAATACCTAAAAACCAACGTGAGACACTTTTCATCACCAGAGTTTTGTGTTATTGTGTGGATCTGTGGTAAAAAAATAATAAGGAAAAAGTCTCCAGCACCTAAGGTAACATACATAGAAGTTGCGACTCAGGAACACAGTTTAATTACTAACAAGACGTGGCACCAGTGTCAGGTCACTGAGCTTGTTTATTACATATTTCTCCAACTCTGCTGCACACACATGCCCAAGGCTCTTCTAAAATGTTACCAGCAGGCAGTAAAAGCAGATGTTTGAGAATAATTTCTGGAGAGGCACTTTTTATTTTTAAGGTACCTACTAAGCAGCAAATCTTGAGGCATTTGGTGCCCCTAATGAGGACCAAAATTAAAAAGTAAGACTGAAGTTTGGGCTTCAGGTCAGAAATCCTTTAAAGTCAGGTGCATAAAATATTCTGAGAATATTGACAGTTATGAAAAAGGAAAATTTAATTAAAGATTAACAGAGTGAAGCTCCTGTGCACATACAGAACTTTTTTTTTAAAGTGAGAATCCATAAAGGAAATAGGAAAACTCAAAGGAAAAGAAACAAAAGACTATGTCTCCAGGAATTTGGTATGTGTAAGAAATTGAGGGTTTCATAAAGGAAACTCGTATGTTAGCTTCCACAGGAAAGGCTCCTTCAAACATGGACAGATTTCAGAAACGAAAAAGATCATGGAAAGATCAGTAGTGTTTTACCTAAAACCAGATATGAATCTGAAATTTTAGCATTTGGGGAAGGTTTTGGCTTACGAGGTCTTCCCCACACTCCTGCAGGGGACGCCAGAATGTTCTGAAAGAACTCGAGTCAACAAGGAGTGTGGAAAACACTACTTTAACAGATACGAAGATGGGGTCTAACTACAAACACAAATGTACAGAATTACATGGTCTTGTTGTCAGTTATCCCTAATCCAAAAACCATTTACTTTTTGCTGCTGAGCTTTCCCTAATGCCACCCCAGGTAAGAACTCTGTATTTACGTTTCTGTTTAGGGACTAGACGGTGACCTCCTTGAGCCATCCAGACCTTGGGCACTCAGTAACGTCAGAATGAACGACACCAGGCTTTCCCAAACGTGCAAATTCTACAAACCACGGAGGAGACTGGTTAAAAAGAGATTCCTGAACACACCAAAATACACTGAATCAACTCTCCAGGGTTCAACTCTCAGAGGTTCCGCTGGGTTAACAAGCATCCTATATTGTTTCTTCCTACTGGTAAGTTTGGGAAATTATATCAACTCAACATCTTGGGGGTTCCGACAAATCATAGGCCCCCAAAGTTCAGGTAACCCCAAGCTTTTGTACTTCTCTGCCAGGTAACCTTTCAGAAAAAAAAGAAAAAAAAAAAAAAAAACTCCATGGGGTCTGAGGCCCAAGTTCACAACAGCTGGCTACTAGAAGAACCGGTCTCAAAACCCAGGTTTCCCGGACCCCAGCTCGGGCTCTTTTTCCTCAACGCGGTATCCTAGGGGGCTCAGAATGGGGGGGCTGGCTGGGGGAGAAAAGAGGCAGGTCGGAAAGGGCAGGAAACCACCGTCACCATCCCGAAGCAGACAGGGCCGGCCCTGACCCTCATACCAGCTTCCCGGGGAATAAGCCCGCCGGGGTTCTCAGCGGAGCGGCCGTGGTTGCCTTTCCACCCAGGGAAGGTGTAAGAATAGGAAATGAGAGGACGAGGGGACAAGGGTAGACCGGGAGGGGACAGCTGGGGGAGGTCGGACACTCACACAGCCCGAACCACTCTCACCTGCCTCCCGGGCTCGCTCCCGGTTTCTCCGCAGCCGCCGGCTCCGCGCCTGGATCCTCTCGCGAGAGGAGACGGTTTTACTTCCGCCCTCCTTTCGCCCAGCGCCGTCGGCGGCGTGCCCGCTTCCAAGATGGCGGCGGCGGCTGTGTCCGGCGCGATCAGCCGGGCGGGCTGGAGGTTTCTGCAGCTGCGGTGCCTGCCCGGTGAGGGGGCAGCCGGGGAAGGGGGTAGCGCGGAGGGGGCGCGAGGCCGGCCCGGGCAGGGTGCAGGGCAGAGGAGGCGGTTGTGGCAGCTCACGAGCAAGGTGAGGTGAAGGGCACCGGCGCGGAGCCGCTGGCGTAGCGGGCTTGAATGACGCGTCCGGCCTGGTTCGGCCCCCGGTCTCGCGCTCGGAGGGTCAAGAGCAGAGGGTAGGGCCTCTCAGCCCCTCATTTCATAAGTCAACGGAGCTTCAAGGAGGGCTGGAGCCACCCAAGGTCACACAGCTCATCGCTTGCAGAATGCTAAGTCCGTTCAAAGGACAGATGGAAATGACCACAGATTGTTTCCCAGAAGTCAAGTTTTTTTCCCACTAGATTTCTAATTCTGTGTGATATTCTCTTACTACCTAGCCGCTGTATAGTCAGCACTTTTATAATGCTTCTACACTTGACTTCTTAAAAATAGCTAGCCACTTAAGGAGGACATTTTATATTAGTATCATAAATGGAAAACCAGAATCACCTTCCATAAACAAAATTATGCATTGGCACATTAACATGAATATGTAGTTAATGAAATATTCTCCTGTGTTTTACCTAAAATTTTCTCATAAACTGCAGTGGTTCCACAGTCATATTGGGTAAACACCTAGGAGTGAATTCACTAGGAATAGGTGTTACTTTTACTAAACATATTCAGTTTGGACAGGACACTTTACAAAAAAAAAAATCAGGGCAGCCGCCTGTGGCTCAAAGGAGTAGGGCGCTGGCCCCATATACCGGAGGTGGTGGGTTCAAACCCACCCCCAGCCAAAAAAAACTGCAAAAAAAAAACAAAAAAAACCAAAACATACTAACTCAAGGAATAATGATTTTAAAAGAAATTTTCTCATAAACAACAGTGGTTCCACAGTCATATTGGGGCCTCCCATTCCTTTTTATTTTTATTGCATTTTATTTATTCATTTATTTTTTGAGACAGAGTCTCACTTTGTCCCCCTCAGTAGAGTGCTATGGTGTCACAGCTCACAGCAACCTCAAACTCATGGGCTTAAGCGATTCTCTTGCCTCAGCCTCCCAAGTAGCTGGGACTATGGGCGCCTGCCCATGACATCCAGTTCTTTTTTTTGTTGCAGTTGTTGTTGTTTAGCTGGCCCAGGCTGGGTTCAAACCCACCAGCCTCTGTGCATGTGGCTGGCGCTGAGCTTCCTTTTTAAAATTTTATGGATATTTGCTTCATTTGGGGATACATACACTAAAATGTTGATATTTTTACACATACCATTTTGTGTTTCTTTTAAAATCCTTATTCCTTGAGTTTGTTGATTTTTTTTTTTTTTAGGTAAGTATCCTTTACAAGCTGAATATGTTTAGTAAAAGTAACGCCTATTACCCAGTGACCTCCACTCCTAGGTGTTTACCCAAGAAAATGAAAGCGTGTGTGTGCAAAAAGTTTTGTATGGTATATTCATAACAGCCAAACACAGAAACAGCCCAGCTATCCCTCAACACTATTCAGCAACAAAAACTAAAGATCTGTCAAAGATAAACGAAACTGGACAGTAGTTATAGAGATTTTAACCAGTAATAACTATTGCAGTAGGGAAAAGACTCTAGTAGAAGTAACTGGAGGTTTTAAAGGAAAAATGAGGGAGGAGGGATGAAGGCAAGTAGGGGTTGAATAGAGTTAGTAATATGAAAAATCACAGAGGGTTAGTATAAAGGAGATTAGGCGAGGTGTGTCTGCCAGCTGGCAGTTATCAACGTTAGGATTCTGTCTTCCCACAGGGAGACAAAAGCTGTATGTATCTCTAAGTGTTGGCTAGAAAAAACAGTACATTTTTTTGACAGCCTCAAACAAGGATGGGGAACCCTGGGGCCACACGTGGCCTTCTTAATCCATGAGTGCAACCTTTTGACTGAATCCAAATTTTACAGAACAAATCCTTTTATCAAAAGGGGTACAGCAGAGAAAGATGAGGCTTTTCTTGACCCCTTTGGTGCTTTAAAAGGAATAATGATGAAATCAGAAGGCCCAATCCCCCACTCCTGTTGTGGGCTAGGGTCATCTTTGGGATGTGGCCTCGAGTGACACTATGTTAGAGTGTGTTCAGGTCTTTTTAGGCCACAGTTGAGGCCCAGGTAAGAATGGGACCTGGTTAGAGTTTGGTCAAGGAGAGAATCTTTTCAGGTCTACTGATTTTACACAAAGATATGGACCAATCTAAAAAGTGTACTGAGTTAAAGAAGCCTTATAGGAAGATGCTCAGTTGGATGAAATCCTAGGACTGGCAAAACTATGACAAGCAAAAACTAATCTAGGTCAAAAGATTCTGAGCAGTATGGATGGGAATGTGACTATGAAAGGGCATGAGGGAACTTTCTTAGGGTGATGGTAATATTCTTTGTTTACATGGGGTTCAGCTTATGCAAATGTACACATTTGTCAAACCACATAGAATGGTGCACTAAGATTTGTACATTTCTTTGTGTGTAAATGACACCTCAATAAAGGAACAGTGAACACTGAGCTCTGGCCAAAGATAGACGTGCTGAAAAGTTTTAGAGATGAGGAATACTGAGATCTGCAACAGACATATCAAAAATCAAGGTGGGTGGATGAAGAGCGTGACAGATGTGTAGAACCTGTGTGTTCTATATAGGTGTTCATTCTGTAATTCCTTCAATTTGTGTCTGTGTTTAGAAATTTTCATAATAAAATGTTGGGAAAGAAAAAAGTAGTGTGAGTTTATTCTTAGGAAACACTACTGATCTTTCCTAAAGTTAAGCAGATTATTGCAAGTATTGCAGATGAGAAAGCAGCTGGGGATTAGTAACTTGTCCAGAAACACCACATAAGCACTAAGGGAGTCAGTACTGAGATCTAATTACTACTCTAGCGCTCTTCCCATAATACAAGGTGTCCATAAAGGTGAACTTTTTATGGACACCCTGTATATAAATATCTTACATTTTCAAGTCACTTTCACTTTTTTTTTAGAGACAGAGTCTCACTTTGTCACCCTCCATAGAGTGCCATGGCATCACGGCCTCACAGCAACCTTGGACTTAGGTGATTCTCTTGCCTCAACCTCCTCAGTAGCTGGACTACAGGCGTCTGCCACAATGCCCAGCTATTTTTTTGTTGAAATTTGGCCGGGACTGGGTTTGAACCCGCCACCCTCGGTATATGGGGCTGGCGCCCTACTCACTGAGCCACAGGCGCGTTTGAGCCTTGTAGCACTCCCATTGAGCAGTAGAAATTACTAATCTAAATTTGCAAATTGCAAAGTCTGCACATGGGGGTGAAATGGTTTGCTCAACATTACACAGCTAACAAATGGTAGAAACAGGCCAAAGTGCTAGGTTTGTGTGTTTCCTGGCTTACCACTTTTGCTCCTACATCATATCTCAAGCTTTCAAATTTATGTAAGATTTTTGTGTGGAACCCAGCACTTGGATAAGGGTTTCTGGAGGAGTCTCAACCCTACTTCTCCCTTTCACCCTATCAGGTTTTTTTTGAGACTCTGTTGCCCTTGGTAGAGGGCTGTGGTATCACAGCACACAGCAACCTCAAGCTCTTGGGCCTAAGCAATTATCTTGCCTCAGCCGCCCAAGTAGCTGGGACTACAGGTACCCACCACAAGGCCTGGCTTTTTTTCTTTTTTGTTGTTGTTGTCGTTGTTTAGCAGACCTGGGCTGGGTTTGAACCCACCAGCCCCGATGTATGTGGCCAGCGCCCTAAACACTGAGCATAGGCGCCAAGTCCCTTCCTGTCTGTTTTACTACTCTGGGTCTCAGAGGGTCTCCTCTGGTGTATGTCCCTGACTGATCAGCCCAGTTTTTGTTTCAGCGTCTCGTTGCCGACCGTCCTTGCTGCCACGTGCCTTCCATGCTTCTGCTGTGGGGCTGAGGTCTTCAGATGAGCAGAAGCAGCAACCTCCCGCATCTTTTTCTCAGCAGCATTCTGAGACACAGGGGGCAGAAAAAGCCAATCCAGAGTCTTCTCATTCACCCCCCAGGTAGGCACCAGAACTCCAATCCACTCTCTTCTGGCCACTTTGTGTGCTTGGGTTTGTCTGCTCCTCCTTCACTTTCTTCCTGTTCATCCCCTCTTCACCTTCCATTGTTTCTAAGGATATCTTTAAAAGAAAGTATTGTTTTTATGAATTGTTACCTGTATATTCTAACATTTCAATGATAAAGAGATGTTTACAAAAATAAAGCAGAGTTTACCCAAAATCAGAAACAGATAACATTGCTGACATTTTTGTGAATGTCCTTCAGATGTTTCTCTAAGCTTATTTCAGATATAAATCCATGTATATAATAAATGATTAATTACACTCTATATGCTGTTCCAAAACCTGCTTTTTCTCTCAGCAGTAGTGCATTTGTAATGTCTTTTCACAGTTTACATTTGTTTAATCATTAAATAATGTGATAGTAGTGTGTGAATCTTAGAAGTGGGAGCACTGAATTAAAAGATATGTACATGGGGCCAAATTGCCCTCTACAGAGGTAACAGTAATTTCCATTTCCAATAGATTTTTTTTCTTCCTAATCCCACCACTGAAAAGTTCCTCTAGATCTGAAATGAGAGTCTTCCTTGTCACTTTTTCCTGGTTTCCTAATTAAATTACTTACTCAGTTCAACAAATAATTTTTGAGAGCCAATTATATACTAGGCCTTGTGAATAATACAGTTATTGCCCCTCCCCTCAAGGAATAATAGTCTGGTACAGAATTAGAGACCCTCTGAGTACAGTGTGCTAAGGGCTGTAATAGAAATCCGGGGTGTGTGGCTCGGCGCCTGTGGCTCAACCGGCTAGGGCGCCAGCCACGTACACCTAAGGTGGCGGGTTCGAATCCCCAGCCCGGACCCGCCAAACAACAATGACGGCTGCAACCAAAAAATGGCCGGGCGTTGTGGCGGGCGCCTGTGGTCCCAGCTACTTGGGAGGCGGAGGCAGGAGACTCGCTTGAGCCCAGGAGTTGGAGGTTGCTGTGAGCTGTGATGCCACGGCACTCTGCCCAGGGGGACAGCTTGAGGCTCTGTCTCAAAAAAAAAAAAAAAATCCGGGGTGTCGCTGGGGCATTACCTTCATGCCATGTGACCTCAACTTGTCCGCTCCCTTCTCTCAGTGGCTGTATGGGAGAGGAAGGATGATCTAATTTTTACTCTATTGGCATTAAAACATTGACGCTGATACAAGAGTAAATGTTCTCCCAACATGCGCTTGGAGGAAACGAGAGCCTCTGGTTTCTGGTCAGCCCGTTGTGCACTCCAGGCCATAGGCAGTGAGTGCGCTGGGCTCTGTCTGTGTCTCAGGTATACGGACCAGGGTGGTGAGGAGGAGGAGGACTATGAGAGTGAGGAGCAGCTGCAGCACCGCATCCTGACGGCAGCCCTAGAGTTTGTGCCTGCCCATGGGTGGACGGCAGAGGCGATTGCAGAAGGAGCCCAGGTGTGTATAGGTGAGGGCGGGGCAACCTGGCCAAGTTTAGCTGGGGCAGGAGTATAATGTGATGAAAGAGAGGAGTCTAGACCCTCAAGGAACGCTGGCATTTAAGAGGAGGGTAGAATAAGATGAGCTGTCAAAGAAGCCTGAGTGAGAGCATCCTGATGATGGAGGCAAAGCAGGAGATGTGGATTAAGCAAGTAGATGTTGGTCACTGTAGGAGCAGCTATCTGGGTGGAAGGCCCGGAAGGCCAGGTCGGAAGCCAGTTGGAGTAGGGTGAGTAGAAGGTGAGGAGGTTGAGCGGCATTTGGCTGTGAAGGCTGGGGGCACTAGGGCATACTGAGCAGTTGGAATGGACGTGTGTCCGTCTGATTGAATGCTAGTGGGAAGACTACCGAGATGAGAAAAGGTGAGGGTATAAAAGGAAACAGGCAAAATCCCAAGTATGAGGTCCCTTGAAGGCAAGAATTAAGGAGACCTGGAGAACAAATAGAAGATGGGTCTTAGATGTGCTGGGTGCAGAGGTGGAGAAGACAGCTGCAGGTTTCATTTCCAGATTAGGAGCATTCCCAGGGGAAGGCGTCTGTTTTTCTGGTGAAGTAGCTGTGTTCTCATGTACCTAACGTTAAATGGTGGAAGGAAACAAAGGGTTTGGAGGTAGCAGAGAATGTTGGCAAGAATCATTACAGAAAGTGGTAGAAACAGTAAGAGGACAGAAATGTAACAGGATTGTTTGACTTCTTTTTACTCAGCACATCTTCATTCATAGTGGCCGCATCATACCTTTGTGTTTACTTGACCTCAGTTCATACGCATCTGGGTCACTTGCATTTTTTTAGTATTGTAAACCTCTTTGTACCATGTATTTGAGTATATTTCTGATGAATTTCTTTACAACAAATTGCAAGAAGCAGAGTTGTTCCTTTAGGGAGTGTATCAGTCAGGATTCATTTGGGAGATAGAAAGCATACCAATTATTCAAATAGAGAGAATTTAATAACAAAGAATTACTAGCCAGGTATAGAGGTAAGAATACTCTAGGTATTGCAGAGGTAGCAGATGTAGGGAGCAGCTCCATCCCCAGCGCTCAGGGAACAAAAGGACAAGTTGGAATTAGTAAAACTAGAAGCTTGAAGGAAAATCCTTGTGGAGAAGAAGTTCACACCTCCCAGGAGGTGGTGCTGGCGCTAGTGCCTCTGGGTTTGGAGGAAAGGTCACTTATGACTGGCACCTGACCTGGGCCTGGTGGGGGGGAGGGGGAGGGGAGGGAGGGTAGTGGCTTGGGAGAATTGAAACTGGGTTCGGTGCTGCTTGAGGAGAGAACTGCTACTGCTAGGATGAAGGGGTGTCCTGGGAATGATGCTCACATCAGACAGGGAGTAACGAGGAAGGGACAAGTCCCTTCTTCCTCCTCCAGCCTTGCACACTCCTTTAGTGACCCTATTGGCAGAGCCAATGTACAGAGTCCCAGTCTAATGTGTAAAATGTGGGTGATAATGTCACCCACCTGCTTGTGGTGTTGTGAAGATGCACCGAGATTGTTTGTGTGATATGCCTAGTAAGGTGCCTGGCACAGAGTAAGCATGCAGTCACCAGTAGTATCACTGCCGCAACTCTGTTCTTGTGCCACATTGTCCTCTGTGAAGGCCATGTACTTCCACCCAAAGTGAGGCAGTTTCCTCCCTCCCGATAGTAGGAGTTGGTATTTAATTTTTGGTTTTTTTTTCTTTCCTATCCTCTGTCCTTGCAGCAGCCAGTGTTCTGCCTCCAGGAGATACTCAAGTATTACTGGATTCAGAAACAGCGAAAGGTTTTTAAGGCTTTGTTAACTCTCTGAGAAACTCACTAAGAAAAAAATTTTTTGTTGTTTTAACCAACTGAGAGACCCAATTTCCCAGAGATTTAGGTTAGTGAATTTGTCAGGAAGAGGGTTATGAGTGCTTTCCCCAGTCCTCTGTCTATCAGTGAGGACTCGTGGTTACAATGTCAAAGTGTATCTCTAACTGGTTTACCCTAGAAAGGGAATGTTTCAGCTCATTTAATAACAGAAAAGTCTGGAAGAAGCTCCAGTATAGTGTTCTCAGACTGTGCTATCAGAATCCATCTCATCTCGGAGCTGCTTTCTTCTCTGTGAGTGTCCTTCTCAGCAGGGGTTTCCCAGGCAAAACTGAAAGTGACTCAGCAGCCCCAGTAGAAAGGAAGCGACTCTTTCCTTTCAACACTGGCAAAAGTCCTAATGTGGGCTCTTAAAACCTGGGTTTGGTCATACATCCATCCCTGAGGTATCCCTGTGAACTCGAGCTATCCAAACCTGGACCCGGTGCTTGCACACTATCAAGGGACTTCATGGAGTGACGGGATGGGAGGTGGTCAGCTTCACCTAAATCACATGGGCCAGAGTGAAAATCAAGCTGTTGTGCTATAAAAGGCACTAGTGGTGAACAGGTGACACATTTCTGGTACACTTGCCCTCTACTTTTCTTTTTTCTCTCTCCATTTTTTTAGTCTCTGGGTCTCTCCAGCGCAGCAGCCAGCATGTTTGGGAATGATGGCAGTGAGCTGATACTACATTTTGTGACCCAGTGCAACGCTCGGCTCTCCCGTATGCTAGAAGAGGAGCAGAAGCTGGTACAACTGGGCCAGGCAGAGTAAGTCCTAAGGCATTATTGCTCAGGGTGGCAGCTAAGGATTGGGGGACTCATGTCCCATCAGCTGTCCCCAGGAGACTAACCCAAACAGAGCCAAAAGAGAGTAGCATTGAGAAGCTCTGCTGCAGTGACAGGACTAAACCCAGCAGCCTGTCTGACAGTGTTAGTCAGCCAGTGTCAGGAGCTGATGGGACCCCCTCCCTAGGGCTGAGTGGACAGTGTAGTGCTGAGCCCCTGCCTTTGACCCAGAGACACATTGTTTTCTTTTCCCTCTTCCAGGAAGAGGAAGACAGACCAGTTCCTGAGGGATGCAGTGGAAACCAGACTGAGAATGCTGATCCCGTACATTGAGCACTGGCCCCGGGTACATAGTCCATATCCAGGCCCCAAAGCAATAATAATAGTTATAATTCTCAGCACCTTTCATGTGGAAGACTTTGTATACTATTCGTAAGTTAGCTCATTAATCGTCTCCATGAAACCAGGAATACTTACTAAAGTTGGTAGAGCTAGGTTTCAAACTTGGGAGAGCTAGAGAGGATAACTCTGAGCCATCGTGTCTCAGTTCTTAGAAACGCAAGTGATTTGGGTATAGGTCACATCCTGGGTGAGTCCTAGAGGCCTAAGTGTGCCACTGGGTCTTAATGAAGAGGAATCAATGAAGGAGCTTAGAAAAGTCAGATTTTATGGGCTGTCTTCACTTGAATAACATCTTTGTCATGTTTCCCATCTGGAGGACTGGGACTTCTTGTCACATTGTCAGTGGGATGCTTGGGCATTGGAATATTCTTTCCAAGGACTTTCCCCCTCTTCTCTAAAGCTTCCTTTTTCCTCTGTCTCAAAGCTTGTCACAGAGAATGTGGGCCATTGTCTGAGTTAAGAAAGCACATCAGAAATGAGAGGAGCTCAGATAGCTAGTGTCTTTTGCCCAGCTGGAAGACTGCTGAGCGTGTGAGTTCAGTCATTCCATGGCAGACATTTGAACACCTAGAATGCCCCTAGCCTCAGGCTGGGCATAAAGGATTTTACAGCCGGGAGTTAAGTCCTATCCGCTACCTGTGCTTTCCATGCTCGATTTTCACACCCCCAGCCCTGCCTTATCCCACCTGGCAGTTAAAGCAGTGGAAGCTTGTGTATTAGGCCCTCAGCTCCCTTCCTGATTCAGCATAGTGTTTCTTTCCAGACCACTTCACTAAGAGAAAACCTTTCGGCCAATTCAGGACCTCTCTGATGAGCTCTTGTAGGACACAGCCAGTAGATTTTAGAATTGGTAAAATGGCAAGACCTTGTCTTATTAGACCAGGAGGAGCTGTTGTCTGTTAATGGAGGAGTTGCTAGTCTGTGCCATCACTTGTGTTAGTGGAAGGATCTTTGGTTTCAGGAAACTGAAATCAACTTGAGTTAAGCAAAAGAATGGGGAGGAGTTTATTGTGATGTTGCAGAGGTACATCAAGCACAGAAATGCTGCCAGACCCAGGAATAGCCAAGAATTAGGTCCTGGAAACCACTCCCCAAATTTCCTCCTATCTCTGCTTCTTCCTCTGTAACTGAATAGGCTGCTCTCCCTGATCCTTGCTTAGAGAAACGAGCCTCGACCCTCGGGCTCTGTGTTCTCAATTCCACATGCTGAGAATGGAGAATCTGATTGGGCCAGCTTAGGACAGAACCATGCCCCTGGCTCCCATCAGCTGTAGTCAGGATTACTAGCTGCCAGGAACTCATACCAGGCAGGTGAAGGTGGTGGGTCTCAGAGAACCAGAGCTAGGCAGGCCCCCTCGTTTACCTCTTGGAGAGGTGAGGCACTGGCCACCTCTGCACTGTTACCTGTGTGTAGTACTTACTCCTCTGCCATTCTCCCCCCAGGCCCTCAGCATCCTCATGCTCCCCCACAACATCCCGTCCAGCCTGAGCCTGCTCACCAGCATGGTGGACGACATGTGGCATTACGCTGGAGACCAGTCCACAGATGTGAGTGCTTTCTACATGCCCACGAGATACTGGAAAAGGCTTGGGTTAAGCATTGCTTCTACAATTTTGTGAAATTTGATCACAGATCCATTCAGAGGGTCTGCAGTGTCAGTCCCACCTAGGTCTGAGCAAGATCCTACAGCAAGCCAAAGTGAATCTAGGTCATCCACATTCAGGGACCAGCATTCCAGCCACAAACTGGTGATTATTTCTTCTACCATCTGGTGATGATGACAGAAGGCATCAGAGGGCCTTGTGATTGGGCTGCCTTTTTACTGTTATTTCCCTCGCGTTCTCCTAAGATGTAGATTCTGCAGCAGAATTCTTTCAAAAAATAATGCCATGGAGACACCCATTGCTTTAAAAAGAAACTCCTTTCCCCAGCCAATCTAGGCCTGCTTTGCTAGGAGATCAATAAGCCCCTTTAAATAGGCACCAGGAAAGAGTCTGACTTGTTAATGCTATCATATTTCTGGTAGGAAATTAAAAAAATTTCATCATAAAAGAAATTAAAATGTGATGGTACTTTGTGGAATCCAGAATGAGGAGGCATAGAGATACACCCACCATAGTTATAACAAAGTGCTTTAATAAACTTCCCTCATGTGGGAGTATACCACCAACAGAGAAGGTAGGAAAATGAAATTAGAAAACAAAGAAATTAAAGGAATAAAACACCAAGCAGCTGAGTTGGTCCTCTGAAGAGTAATTTGCTGAACACTCAGAAGTTGCTGAGGGACTTGAACTCTCAGCTTTGTCCAGGTATTGCAGTCTGTCCATAATCCTGTCTCAGCCCTCACTTTACTGATGAGCAGGGTTTGGTCATAACTGGCTGACCACAGAGCTTCCCTGGGATTCAGATGTCCTAATACAGTGTTTTTGAACCTTTTTTTTTTATCTCATGGCACACTTGAACCTATAGTTAAATCTTCAGCAGCACAGTTAAATTATGTTGATCTGGAAAGAGTCAAAAAGAAGAATATACTTACTATGCTTTGAACTTCTCTAAAAATAATTTAATTAATGATCTTTAAAATTTTTCGTGGCACACTAGTTGAAAATCACTGTCCTAAGACTTAGTCTTTATACAAGCAGTTCCAAGAATTGGTTTGGATGTCGCCAAATCACCTAGAATATTTACTAATTCAGACCCATTGGCTGTACTATTAAGAGATGGGCCCAGGAACTTGCATTTTTAATCTCTCAGGTAATTCTGATGCCCAGCCAAGTTTGAGACAGTGATGTTATCCACAGGGCCATATGTATCTGTGAGGGAAAGGAGAAATCGGGCAGGAGCTCAGGAGTTCCCATGGCCTTGGGTGGGAGCTACCCTAAACTTTCCTGGCCCACACTGTAGTGGTAACCTACCTTCCTGGGTGGATTTCTTTGCAGTTTAACTGGTACACCCGCCGAGCTGTGCTGGCTGGCATCTACAACACAACAGAGCTGGTGATGATGCAGGACTCCTCCCCAGACTTTGAGGACACGTGGCGCTTCCTAGAAAACAGAATTAATGATGCAATGAACATGGGCCACACTGCCAAGCAGGTAGTTGGGGGCTAGCCATTGCACATCCTCTTTGGAAGCTATAATCATCATTCTTCTCAGGCCACAGCTGGTCCCCTTGGTCTCAGCTGAGCTTTGCCCATTTGTGATTGTGTTCTCCATCAGCTCTCCTTCCAGTACCCATGGCCCTCTTGACTCCACCTTTTGAGGCTCATAGGCCTCCCGATTTGTCCTGCCTGTCCCCACATTGTGGTGAGAACTTAAGGAATCCTGACTCTGACTCCCTCTAGGTAAAGTCCACTGGAGAGGCACTGGTGCAAGGACTCATGGGTGCTGCGGTGACAGTGAGTACCACCCAACTCCCAATCCTACTCCAGCCCTGTGATACTTACAACATGTATCAGTCACCCCACGTCATTTTGTAACCTCAAACTGAAAAGCTAATAATAAGACTGACACTAGTTCAGCCCCAGCGTCTTGATCCAAAGACTTTATTTTTTACTGGTATCAAGAAATACCACCGAAGGCCAGGGGTGGTGCTCACGCCTGTAATCCCAGCCCTCTGAGAGGCCGAGGTGGGTGGATTACTTGAGTTCACAAGTTTGAGACCAGCCCAAGCAAGAACGAGACCCCATCTCTAAAAAATAGCTGGGTGTTGTGGTGGGTACCTATAGTCCCAGCTACTCTGGAGGATGAGGCAAGATCACTTGAGCCCAAGAATTTGAGGTTGCTGTGAGTTGTGGAGTTATGACACCATGGCACTCTACTGGGAGCAAGAAAGTGAGACTCTGTCTCAAAAAAAAAAAAAAAGAAAAGAAAAATATCATTGACTCCTAGGACCCTTATATGTCAAGTCTCTGTGTCATAGCCACATGTGCCACCTTGAAAACCTCAATCTTTCCCATTAGAGTCTCAAGGCAGGGCAAGACCTCACCACTCTCTCTGTTTCCATCTCTCTGTCAGCTCAAGAACTTGGCAGGTCTAAACCAACGCCGGTGAGAGGAAGGGGTATAAACAAGAGTGCCTGGAAGAAAACAAGTGGATAAATTGAAGGGACTTTGAAAAGTATGAGGTGCTGTCCATGTAACCGAGTGTTAATTCCTGAGTCACTACCACAGCCACCTGGAAGCCACAGGGTTCATACACTTTGGGCCTGGGATTGGGCTACCCCTTCAGTTCCTAATACCAGGCCAGACCTCTTGATGCCTTTCTGCATTGCTGCTGTGTGAACAAGAAATGAGGCTCTCTCCAAGCATTCAAGCCGTGGAAACCCAGCACATCCCTGTCATGGTCTCCTGGGCACCTGGATAATGTCTTAACCTTCCAGAAATGCCCTCTTGGGCTGCCAAGCCAGAGTCAAGGTCAGAATCTACCATAAGTGGCAGTTCCTCCCCGGCACAGCACAGGCATGTGCACACAACAGCGTTCCTAGCAAGCAGCCCCTTTCCTCTTCAGGCGTCCTGAGATGCTGCTCCTGGGAACCCCCCTCAGAAAACTGCCTCATTCACCTGAGACAGGTGCCTGCTGGACAGAGGTGTGATCCCAGGCCTGGTATCACATTACACCAGTGTGCATTGCAGGGGTATCAGTGTCTTTAGAGTCTGTAAAAATGATAATAAACACGTTTGAAGCAGTTTCTTTGTGTGCCGTTAGTTTCCATAAAGACCATGATAGGTATCCAAGAACCCAGAGGGAGATACAGTGTTGTGGAAAAGGCTTGAGGCCAGCAGCTAGGACCCTTGAATTCTGGCCCAGGCACTGCCTAATACCTATTGGGTAGTTCTAGCAACTGTATTTCTCAGGGCCCAAGTCCTCTCATGAGTAAAATAGGGTAACAGTAGCCTTCCCCCAGACCATTAGCTGCCTTGACTGCTCTTGTCTGTCACTAACCATTTCTGTGATATGTTACTTAGTTCAGTTGTTTTCTTACCCTCTACACTGGTGGGCCTCCCCTTGCACATCTAGTTAATTCTGTGTGCAGCTTTGCTTTATTTTCCCTAAGTCAGCTGAATGTTGAAAGTCAGGAGCCAATTGAATTTCAGATTTCTTTCTGTAGGCCTTCCGTGGTTCTCATTCCTCATTATCTCTTAACAACCTGTGAAATTTTTGCAGTAGCTATTCCAAATTTCATTGCATTTTCTCCTATATCCTTCATAGCCTTCATCCTACACTCAGCAGACAACCATAATTCCTAATTTCCTGAGGTGACACAGCTATGGGGCAAGGCAGTTCTCATCCTTTCGCAGGAAGATGTATGACTCCTTGCTAAGGTAAACTCTTTTTTTGTCCCCTGGTAATTATTCTCCTGCCTTCTAAATGTAGATCCTGCCAAATTCTATCTTAGGGCCACTTTGAGCAGCTCCCACTTTGTGGGGGACCATCCAAACTCCTTTGCAGGTTGTTTAAAGGACTTTGGTGATTCTTTTTTTTTTTTTTTTTTTTTTTTTTTTTTTTTTTTTGAGACAGAGCCTCAAGCTGTCTCCCTGGGTAGAGTGCCGTGGCATTACAGCTCACAGCAACCTCCAACTCCTGGGCTCAAGCGAGTCTCCTGCCTCCGCCTCCCAAGTAGCTGGGACCACAGGCGCCCGCCACAACGCCCGGCTATTTTTTGGTTGCAGCCTTCATTGTTGTTTGGCAGGTCCGGGCTGGGGATTCGAACCCACCACCTTAGGTGTACGTGGCTGGCGCCCTAGCCGGTTGAGCTATAGGTGCCGAGCCGACTTTGGTGATTCTTTATGGAGGAGCATACACCTTACGTGATATGCACTGCCAGGTGCTGGGGATGCAGAGATGAAGAGTTGCCACTCACCACAACTACGCAGAACTGTAGGTGGTGCATGGTGTTAAGAGCATCGAAGCTTTTCCTGCAGTTTTCAGAAGTGTGTGGTCCAGACATGAGAGCACAGGGAAAGGGTATATGCCTAGCAGATTTACTTTGCTAAAGTATACATGCAGAATTAAAGTATACTTTATTTAGGCAAGAGGCTTACTCTGTTGCACAGGCTAGAGAGCCTTAAACTCCTGGGCTCACGCGATCCTCCCCCTTCAAGCTTCCAAGTAGCAGGGACTATGACAATAGTCCTACCACAATGACCAGCTAATTTTTGTGTTTTTAGTACTCAAGCTCAGGCTGGTCTCTAATTCCCGAGCTCAGTGGATCGTCCCTCTTCAGCCTCCCAGAATGCTAGGATTACAGGCGTGAGCCACCACGCTCGGCCTACTTCTTTTTTTGGAAAAGCTTCATGATTATTTCTGTGTATGTATATGTGTATTATTTATTCAAGTCTGTTGAAGGAGAGAGAGTTTTCTTTATCTTTTGCCATCATAAATGGTACTGCCATGTACGTCCCTGTACGTGTATCTTTGTCTACAACTCCAAGTACTTCTGCGGTATGAGATCGTAGCAGTGTTACTATTGAGTCAAAGACGTAAGCATATTTTGCAAAACCACCCCCCAAGGTGGCTGAACCTGGTGTATTTTAAAGCAGATATAGAAAACTCCGGGCCCGGGCAGTCCCGGCCTCCGAGCAGCAGGCGGCGCTGCGAGCGCGTCTCCGTGGGGCGGCGGGGCCCGCGCTCTTTAACTTCCGGTGGCGGCGGTGGCGGCGGCGGCGGCGGCGGAGCTGACGCAGAGACTGGTGGCCTCGGGGCGCGATGCCGTACGCTAACCAGCCCACCGTGCGGATCACGGAGCTCACTGACGAGAACGTCAAGTTCATCATTGAGAATACGGACCTGGCGTAAGGCTGCTAAAGGAAGAGGCTGGCGGCTCCAGGGCACTGGGAGGCCCCGGCCCGGGTGGCGTGTGGGGGGGCCGATGTCCTTCCAGAGCCGCCCCCTGTGCCGGGGCTTTAGCTTTGGGACCGTGGGGCCGCGGCGCCCTCACACCACTTGGTTTTTCATCCTTTAGGGTGGCCAATTCTATTCGGAGGGTTTTCATTGCTGAGGTACCCATAATAGGTAAGCGACCCCAGCCGCCTTGTCTGCGCCACCACTTTCTGCCCCACCTGCCCTACCTTGGGGCTCCTGTCTTGGGGCGTGGGAGGCTGAGAAAACTGCAGTGCCGGAGACTTGGTTAGACCCCGTACCCTTGGCCTAGGGGCCCCTGCTGTCTACCTCCCTGGCTCCCACGGGCCACTTAGGTCCAGCCTTACACTGAGTGTGCCTTGCTGAGGAGCTTGGGTTTAAGAGCGTGCTGACTTGGCTTAGAATACCGTTTTCACTTACTGTCTTTGTGAAACTTGGGCAGGTTATTAAACAGTGTCCTGCAGTCTCCTCATCTGTAGCTGGAGCACTAAGGGTACTTAGGGTGGTATCTAGGATTAAGTAATGCAACCCATAGTAAGTGTCTTGAGCTTAGTGAGTGTTCAGTACTCGTAGATGTCTTTTCTGAGTCTGTTCCTTCATCTGCATTTATGGAGCATGTAAGTGCCAGGCATGGTGGTAGGCACTTAGGAATGCAAAGGCTGTTATAGAACGGGGTCTTTGCCCTCGTGAAGTTCACAGTTAGGTTGTAGGAAAAGATGAATCTGCCAATAACACCAGTGCAAAGTAGATTTTGATCAGTATTTCAGAAGCATAGCTACAGTGCATTTGAACCTTAGAGGAGAGATCGTTCTGGTCTGGTCTTGTTTTAGCCACTTTGCCCCTGTGTTTGATGTATTGACTATGCTTGCATGAAACATCACAGTCGTGGCTGCCGTATCAGGTGTTCAGGCTGTTAAGGAAGTAAGCAGGCCTGATGAGTAGTAAGCAGAACACTGTAGTGCATCCACAGCTACCACCCCAATCACTTCCACTCAGCTGGGAGTGCTGGTCCTCCCTCAGCCTAATCACTTCATGCCTCTGGGCCTCAGTTTCCTGATAAGTAAACTCAGGGAATTGTACTTCAGGGTGCAACCTTGATATTCTGAATCTAAATGCCACTTTTTTCACAAATTCAGTTTTGCAAATAATACTGAGCACCCCTGCTAGGAATACAAAGATATCTCAATGCCCTGCCTCTTGGCTGGGCTGTGTGGCTCACTCCTGTGATCCCAGAGCAGCACTCTAGGAGGCTGAGGCGGGTGGATTTCTTGAGTTTACAAGTTCGAGACTAGCTGGAACAAGACTGAGACCTGTTTCTACTAAAAATAGAAAAACCGAGGCAAGGGGATCCCTGGAGCCCAAGAGTTTGAGGTTGCTGTGAGGTATGATGATGTCACAGCAGTCTACCCAGGGCAATAGCTTGAGACTTTGATTCAAAAAAAAAAGAAAAAAATCCTGCCTCAAGGAGGTTTTAAAGCTTGAGGTAGAAACAAGACATATAGATCTACACAACACAAGGAGTTTTGTGAGAGGGGAGTTCAAAGGGAAAGAGTGATCACGTCCAGAGCATGGAGGGCAGGCAAAGAAGGCTTCATTCTTCAGGAGGCTCAGAGGATTTTAACCTGTGCAGAAGAGGCTAAGGGCATGCCAGGGGGAGTAAAGAGGCAGAAGACTATTGGTTATGGTCCTTACTTGGCATAGGTTGGGGAAGCAATAGGAAACCTAGCAGGACAGAGCAAGTAGGACTTGGCCATGTCTGGTCCTCTTCTGACTTTGCTTCTAGTATCTGTGACCCTTATTTGGCAGTTGGACTCCAATGTCATTTGATTTCCGGATTTAATTGGTTATATGCAGATGTTTATTTATGAAGGAATAAATGTGTGTTTTAGTCAAGTATATGTGATAACACAATTCTTACCCTCCTTCCAGCTCATTGCTGGTAGGGATTGGGTTTTATATTTGTTGCCTTGCCCATTAAAGGAACTGAGTAAACATTTGTTGATTGAGGATAACAAAGTGCTAAATCAGGTGATCATAAAATAGGGTATTGACGATTAAGTCTGTGTTATTTTTGTGAGGTATTCCCTAACTTCTAAGCGCCCAGTAGATTGTGTTCTGGTGTTGGCAGAGGTAGCCTATTTAAGTGCTTATCATAGAAAATATTCATCTCAAAGAAACATATTCCCACTCCCATAGTATTCTCTGAGTTGGTGTTTTTTGTGTGTAGAGCATGGAATCTCCTACATTAAATTCACCTGGATGGAAAGGTGGGGTATGGTTCTTGTTAGAATGTAGGTTCCTGGACTCCATTCTAGTGCTGTGGGATCAGTGTCTCTGGCTCAGTTATCTCCAGTTTAGGATGCATCAGATGATTCCTAAATGTTGAGAATAACTGTTTTAAGTCTTTGGGTGAATTGATGGCTAAACTGCACATCTGCTTCCTCCATTTTTTAGCTATTGACTGGGTTCAAATTGATGCCAATTCTTCAGTCCTTCACGATGAGTTCATCGCTCACAGACTTGGTGAGTGCTGGTTTTGGAAGGTTAAAGGGAGGATGCTATGCCTGGTGTAGAGTAAGGGGCCTCTGCCCACCCCAAGGGGACTGCTAGGTTCTTGTTTTGGCTTGGCTATTTAGACTTTTTTTAAGTGCTATTCTGTGTTTTATAGGATTAATTCCACTCATCAGTGATGACATCGTGGACAAGCTACAGTACTCTCGGGTATGCTCGGTGCGATTGGGTAGACGTTGGAGAGGGAGGGCTTTAGTTCTCAAGATTGTTCCTGACATCTGTGTCCAGCTTGGATTGTATTATAATTTTAGAAGCACAGGGTGGAGATGTAGTCTGCAGCTTGAGGCAGGTCTTGGTCCTCAGGTCTGATGGGTTTTCAGCATGATCAGCACACAGGGCATCAGGGAGTCTCCCCAACCAGCCACATGAGGTGTGGGCTTTCCAGCAGAATGCCCAGTTACATGAACCAGTGGGGCTGCTCTTTCCAGAGCATCTCTTCCCAGTGGCAGAAGGCTAAAGGGAATCAACAAAAGATTGGGGGGAGGAGGACAAGGAGCAGAGAGAGTGGAAGCTGTCCCCATAAGAGCAGCACTTGATGGACTTAATTCTGGTATTTGCCAGATTCATGCCTCCCTCAGTAGGTGATGCTAGATAAACATGGCCAGACTTACTGTCTCACTCCCCTCCACTGGTCAGGTTTGCTCTTTGTATGGTGTCTTCACAGGCCTTTGGAGTAGGGATAGGAAGGAAGTTGGCTTCATCCTTTCCCTAGGGCTGCATTAAATAATAGCTTGAGCCCTGTTGATGGCTTTGAATGATCCCGAATATACCTATTTTCCTATATTTCTAGAGGCATGTCATTTTTGTGGTGGTTCATTTGATGTATTTTATATGTATTTTTGAAAAGAAATAGTCAAGCACACAAAAGGGTGTGGAGCCAGTCTAACAGATACCTATGTTCCCATCTAAAGCTTTGTCACATTTTAACATTTTGCTCTGTTTGTTTCACATTTCCAGATTTTCTTTTAAAGAAATAAAACATTACAAATATTGGTGGGGACAGTTGTATAGCCAATTAAGAGCAATTTGACGATATCTTATACATGGATCATTATGAAAGTTCTGAGATTCACAAAAATCAAGAAATGTAAAATCTGCTCCGACAGAAACAAATGAAGCTTTCCCATAGCACCAATAAGCCAAGCAAAGTGAAGCTTGCACGAGTGCATCAGAAAGAACGCTGTCTACTGTGTTTCTTGGAAATGAAATGTCTGTCTCAAAACTTTCATAGTGACCTGTGTCTGAAGATACACATGCCCTGTGATCTAGCAGTTGCTTTCATTAATTTTTTTTCTAGCATTTATTGAACAAAGATGGTATGGTCCTCTCTTGTTTTTTTTGGCATGTCTTTTTCTGAAAACCTATAGAAAAGTTGAAAAAAAAAAACACCGTTCACTTTTCATCTTGCTAATGTTGCTACATTTGCTTTACTTTTTACTCATATATGTTGTTATTTGCTGAACTATTTGAAAGTAAATTGCAGGCATCCTGACATTTCTCTCCTTAGTACTTTAGCATGCATCATCCAAGAAAAGTAACATTTCCCAGTATAATCACACTATTATTGTGCCTAGGAAAATTAGCACTAATTTGTGATATCTGTATTTGGTCTATATTCAGATTTTGCTAGTTGTGCCCCAGATGTCCTTTATTGTTTTTTGTCTGTGGGTCACGCTTGATCCAGTCAAGATTTACTGAATTGTAGGTCTTTAGTGTCTTCTTATTTCAGACTTCTCCTTTCAGTACACTTTATTTTTGAGATTGTATGGTTGAGTACCTTTTCATATTTTTATCTTCCATTGCATTTTGATTCTCCCATTTCGTGTTCCTAGTAGTGATTAGAGATCCTTCAGTCTTAAGGGTCTGAGTTTCCTTCCTGCCTCACCTGTGTATAACTGCAGACTCTCCAGGTGAGACTTGACAGTGTTTCTTCTCACTCACCGACATCAATATGTTGGATTCTCCTTACTACTGGGGGGAGAAAACAGCTTGCTTGAATACATTGTAGTAACTGTCGTCTTTTCTGAAGAGGGTTGCTACTGTAGCAACCCTAACATAGAAATGAGTCAGTTGGTTTAAGAACGGCAAAATGTTTCTAATTATGGAGGCTGGGTGATGGTTATGTTATGGCAGTTTATTGTGCTTTTCTGTTTCTTTATGAATGAAATTTTCCATGATAGAAAAGAGTTTTTAAGAAAAAAGACCAATAGTCTAGAACTTGAAAAGTACTTTTCTTTTCTTTTTTTTTGAGACAGAGCCTCAAGCTGTCCCCCTGGGTAGAGTGCCGTGGCATTACAGCTCACAGCAACCTCCAACTCCTGGG